CTCAAAAATTTAGAAGGAACTATCTTTCAACGCTGAGAAATTGACAATTGGGTCACTACTCTCCTGCTCTATAAAGAAGTAAATTATTATTTATAACTGAAAAACGTATAGGATGTTGATCGCCAGCGCTTGCTTGCCTGAAAATATATTTAATAATGCTTCATAATTAAATACTAGTAGAGCTAATCGGGTTGACTGGTTGCAAGCAGAAAATATAAGTGTAACTATTATTTATAATGAAAACAAGTTAAGCTATTGTGCGTAAAATTTTATTATTTATACGAAAAAAATAGTTGACAAACTCGACGCTTGCTTGTCCAAGGACTTATTTAATTACTAATTATAACTTAAAAACAGTTTAGCTACTCAGCACCGACGCTTGCTCGCCGATAAATTTATTTTAATTATTTATAAAAAAAAATTAGTTACTTAGACTTTTAATCAATGGTTTCCAAGAATTCACTGCATTACGAAAGATTACTAAAAAACAGTAGGACTATCTAATCAACACCTGTGCTGTCTCGACGAAAAGTTAATTTTATCATTAGGTATTTAAGAATAAGCTTGAGCTTCTCATCACAAGAGTTTGATCTCCCATGGATTAATAAGATTATTATTTATAACAAAACAACAGTTTAGCTTTTTGGCACCAGTGCTTGCTTGCTCATGAATTAATTTAATAACAATACAAGTTTTTAGCTCCTTATCGCCAGCTCTTGCTCACCTAAATATTGATTCAATCATTATTTATTGCTAAAAAATAGTTTAGCTACTCAGACACAGATCTTGGTTGGTCATGAATAAATTTTATAAGTATTCGTGACTAAACAATAATTGGGCTTATTATTAACTGCTCGTAATCACCCAAATACTAGTTCGATTCTTATTTGTAACTAAAACATTGCGTAGATACTTGGCCATAGTGTCTGCTCACTTATTAATCAATTCAGTCATCATTTATAACTAAAAACAATAACAGTTGTGCTCCCTATCAATGGCATTTGCTCACCGCAAAGTTCATGAAACTATCATGTCTAGCTGCAAAAAATTTCAGCTACATAACGTTAGTGTTTGCTCGCATAGAAATAACTATAATTATTAGACCAAAGTAAAAAAATATCCATAATCATATCTGATAAGAATATATTGTATTATATAAAAGTTCAAAAAATCATATGTTGGTAAAACTTGTATCAATTCATTAATATAATAGATATACATTATTTTTGATTAAACAGTAAAATTTTATACATTATATAAAACTTACTACACCAACTTTTCAAATTATAATTTTCTTCATAAGTGTATTATTCTATTGACGTATTTAAAATAAGTCTACAGTAAAATTTTGCTACTTACAAACAATAACTGAAAAATAACATGAAATATTTATCAATGTATCTTGAAAGCAAATTTAAGATTTACAATATTTTTATACAAGTGTATAAATAGTGATAAGCTTACAGCTTTTCAAAATACATAAACATACCACTTGAAAGAATTTTTTGATTAAATTCAAAAAGTATACTTGATTAGATCTTTTTGATAAACCATTGAATATGAAGAGGAAATAAATCGAACATTTTTTCAAAGAAACCTAATACATGATGTTTAAAAAATAAAACAAAACGTTTTAAAAAGTAACAGTAGATACAGAATCCATCAATATATGAAGTATTATACACCGGGTGTTTTCCGCAATCGTCACCAACAAGTAATTGTAGGTTGCGCTCTACGTTACCATCAGATCAGTAAGTAAACTACCTTGAATTAATTGACGCTCTGTTCCGTAATCTGGCCAGTTAAAACAGCAGACGACGTGAAAGTCGAGAAAAAACGGGAAGATTTCGTGATCAGTGTTTCTTTGGGTTTGGGGTACTTTGTTATTAATCTAATTATGTCAGCCAAACAAAAAGTAACAATTGTTGATTTAAAGTCTGGTGAAAAGTACCAAGTCCTTCTGTCTGAGAGCTTGGATGAGCAAGTAAAGATTGGTATGTTTATTTAATTTAAGTGTTTAACCTTATTGTTACAATCACTTTGGAAGATAGAAAATTACGATAGTAAGCTTCACATTTGTCTCACTCTCACCTCATTAACGTAAATAAAAGTTTCTCAGTAACCAGATTCCAATTTCTCATGTTTTGTATATATTTCAATCTAAGAGTTTTGCTGTATATTTGCGTGCATTGTGTGTGTGTATCTATTTGTGCAGAATTTAATATTTTTAAATTTCCTATACCTTAGATGAGACATTAAGATTTAAAGTCATTCCTCAAGTTCAGCTGAAAACGCCAAGCGGTTGATCAAAACAATTATTCTACTTAAACCATAAACAATGGGTCATTCAGTACGATACTGAGCGAAGACAAACCTTTTCAAGTAAAGCTGTACGATCAATCTTCTAAGCGCAATGTTACCTTATACGTAGATGCAAGTACTTGGAGTAATATGAATGGTTTGTTAAATTGCATAGTTACAATTATTCAGTACTTGGTCTTTCATAATTAATCGAATTACTTATTGTGTAGACACTTTGGTTTCATCAAAATTAATGGCCTTATACAAAGCTTCGCTAGCCACAAAAAAATCACCTGATTGTGATACAGAGCTTGCTAATTTTCAGTTAGACTTGTTTGACTCATCGAATCAAGAGTGGTATAAATTATTTGTCGATGAAGACACGTTTGAGCGAGCACACAAAGGTAAGTGACAACCGTTCATCGATCTTATGTATATGCTCTTGCATAACCGCTCTACAAAAATGTGTATGAATTCTGTCTAGATACAACATTTGCTTCACAAATTTTGACTGACCATCTGACTGCCATATGTCGTCAGTAGGCAAAGTCAATTTCAACATTGAACCCGTCGAATCCTTCGATGGATTCAGAATTCAATGCTTCGAAGGCAATTGGTTCCAAAAAAGCCGATAATAATTCAGGTAAAGTTAATGATGAGTCAGCAGACTCTGAAGAGAAAGGTGGTGTCGAAAACCAAATTGGTAAATATTAATTGAAAAATTACGTTTTTCCCTTTAGTAATAAAACAGTTGATTAAATTATTCCGCATAAATCGAATTTGACTAGTTCGCCATCGCCAAAGGTGGAGTGATGCTCAAGTTCTTCTGTTATTAGCACTGTATAATGATCATGATGACTTGTACAGTAATCAATCTTTGACTTATAAACAATTTTGGAAACTAATTGTTGCCAGGCTAAATGAGAAAGGTTACCATTTTACCATAAAACATTGTACTATCGAAATAGATTCGTTAAAAAAAACCTACAAAAAAATCAAAGATCATAACACTGGTTCTGGAAATGATTCCCAAACATGTTCTTTTTGTAACGTACGCTAACTGTTTAGTTTGAGCTTATCGTATTAATATTTTTGATAATATAATAGCTTATATATTTCAGGAACTGGATGAATTTTTTTGTAAAAAGTCATGGGTAAAACTGTTGTCCGTTGCCAGAAACTCAATAGGCACAAAGAATTTTGATAAAAATAATACCAGTCCATCAATGAGTACGTATTTCTTTTGTAATAATAGTCTTTATAATCCTAGCTAAACTATTTCATTATTTCAGAGCGCAGTTCACTGTAGCAATTCAAACAAGAACTACTGGAGGAGAAACGATTGAAAAGAGCCGAGACTAAAGCATATCGGGAAGAAAAACTGTCAGTTTTAAAAGCTCTTTTAGACAAAGTTAGCAAGTAGTTTTTAATGTTTCGTATTATTCTATTATTATTTTGCATTGCATTATTTATTCTTAAGATTGGTTAAGTGACATCACAAGAAATAGCTTTGTTTGCGTCAGTATATACCAAGTATGTGTTCTTAAAAGTAATTAGTATGTAAGTAGTTATCTTCAAAAAGTTTAAAGATGTGTTTACTCCAGATAAGGTTATTAATAGCGTCTTTGATTGTATGATATTATTATAACAAAAATTCTACGTTTATTGTATCATGTGGTTAAGTGTGTAGTTGGAGTGCTGTGCAATACATCATAATAGATGTGTAAACAAAGGTATTTTCGTATTATTACGTTCTATACTTGTCAAATAAGGAAGGTAAAGGTAATTTGAAACACTAAGACCCAAAAGTAAGCAAATATTTATATATAGTACGTATGTATTGTCAATAAAAATTATTATCTACATAAAAGTTCTCGTATATTGTCTTTATTGAGCCTATCCTCTTGTTTCTGAACATTATTAACTCTGAGTGGCGCAGGATTTTCTTCATCCATGACTGAGACAAGTATAGGGTAAGGTAAAAGCACCAGCACGTGAACACTTTTTCCATAAAGTCTTTGTTTTCTCATTTTTATTGAATTTCTGATTTGCATAACAACAAAACTGTCATTAGGCCAGTAAATTTATATTTTTTCCTTTGAAAAAAAAAAAAAAGTTTTTCGAGGTCATGTGTACAATTAATAAATTAATTTTAAAGTTTTTCTTTATCAATGACCCAGTAGATGAACAACGTGTTCAGGTATTGGTACCGATACGTATTTTTAACCGAGTACTTGAACATCCCATGTTAATCAAATGGGAGAGAGGTTATGTTAGCTGCCTTCTACTGATTTCTATTTTTATTATGCATTGCAAATAGCCAAATCGGAAAATTTCATTCTAATTTCATTGATAACATACTATGGAAACTATAACGACTGGCTTGACATACTATTATTATTGATAAACAGTGATTTCAATCGTTTTTATGTGTTCGAGTACTGGGCATATGTAAAACCTAATGGTACCAGTACCTGAACAGTCTCACAAGCCACCTCGTACAAGTTGCACGAATAAATAATTTTTTTCTTGTTGAGTATAAAGACTTACTGAAATAATTATTTTGTTTTATCTAAAAAACAATCAAAGGATATCACAAAAATTGTTTTTTTCATCCACTTAGATTGAATATAGTTTATTCAAGCTGTTCAATCTACTGGTGCAATTTTAGGAAGTGTTCACGTACTGGTGCTTTTACCTTAGTCCAACTCATCTTCGTGCTTTAAACATAGGTTGTGAAGGTCACAGCAACACAGTACGTAGTATGGTACAAGATCCGTCCTCTTCATGTGCATTTGGTTTAACAAACACCTCCAACGCAACTTCAACAGTCCAATGGAGCGTTCAACCATGCTTCGACTTTTGGAGAGAGTTTTATTAAAATACGCTTGCTTCACTGTCAAATATCTATCATTTCTATAAGGAACGAGAACGGGCTTCTGGATAGTGTACGCTGAGTCCCCCAAGATGTGTTGATGATCTCTGAAGAATGCATTGTTACACATTTGCTGCACACCAGAAAACTTAAACACCCTTATGTCGTGAACAGATCCAGGCATCCCACAAAAGCAATGGATGAACTTCAATTTATTGTTGCAAATAACCTATAATACATATATCCATGTTTTATATGAAACACGTAACTACTATTAACAGATTTAATAGATTATAAATATGTTGCTCTTTACTTGAAGTTGTACTGTGCGTACATTTTTCTGATTAACATGAGATTGAGCATCTCGTTTCAGAGTTGGAGTTTTTACATGTGTTCCATCAACAGCTCCGATTACTCCTGGAAGTCCATACTTTTCTTCTATTACTTGAGAAATTATGTTTGCTTCTTCAGGACATGGCCACTTGATGAAGGAATTACTAGTTTTACAAATTTCTTTTACAACTCTCTTGACAGATCTCCATGCTGTAGCCATTCCGACCCCAAATTTAGTCACTACTGATCTATACGGATGAAGAAGTGAAATGGATTACGTACTATTTGTATTTTAAGTAAAAACAAGAATTATTTACCTGTAAGTGTCCAGACTTCCTAAGAACCACAATGCTATAAATAATTGTTTTTCAGGTTCAATGGGCATATTACCTGCAACTCCAGGAGTACCCTTTAAGTCTGGCCTTATCAAGGTAAGACAATAGTAAAAAGTATCACGGTTCAATCTATACGTATATAAAGAACGATTAGAATCATAATTATATTAATTTGTTAGACAGTTACACTATGCCATAGTTTACCTGAAATTTTTCTTGAATTCTTTGTCAGTATATGTATAAACAACAGTTTCAATAAAATTTGTAACTCTGGGCTTTGGTCTTCTCTTATTTTCATCCTCACTGTCATCAAATAATCTATCATCGGATTCACTAGAACTGGAGCTACTGAAGTCAACAATTATTGCTAACATTGGAGCTTTAATCTCCATTTTTGCAACACTTAACACTTGCAAGCTTGTAGATAGCTATGAAAAAAAGGTATGTGAGTTAGATATTAGTTTGAAGTTTTTGTTGTTGTTTTGCTGTTAATTGTCGTCTGCCGTTTTAATTGGCCAGATTACGGAACAGAGCGCCAGTTAATCCAAGGTAGTTGACTTACCGACCTGACGGTAACGTAGAGCACAATCTTAAACTACTTGCTGGTGATGATTGCGGAAAACACCCACCATTGAAATTATCAAACATTAGTTTAAAGTTCATGTCGCTGTTCACCCTGCGATATTTTTATACCCGGTTTTAATACTGAGATAACTTTTTCAGACATCGTGGGATGAATGCTTATTTGCAATTGTGTCAATGATTCTTGTTCCTACTTGAGTGAAAAAACATATTAAATATTTATACAAGAGGGTTCTAAAGTAATTGCCTACATATTTAAGTGATTGTATTGTTGTGTGTGAAACTCTTTGCTATTTCTGAACTTCATCTTGCTGTTGAAGTATATTTCTCCAATTTTCTTCGGTTTCTGGTGTAGTCCTGGAAAATTAGTATTTATTCTTCAACCTATCATTAATTCTAGCATTGACAGGCAACTCTAAAATTGATGATTGATAACTATTAGTTGTATGATCTGGGGAGTAATTCTGTAACGTACCTACACTAGAAATGCATTGTCTTCTGCTTTTTCTTTTTCGGCCTTTAACAAAGATTTTATAATTTTCTTCGCAATCAATATTCAAAGCCTTCACCAAGCTGTTGAGATATTCTTGTACACCTGTCTAAAAACTCTTATCTATGATAGCTGCAAAATCGAAAAGCAATGTTACCAAACTAATTTTTTTGTCATGAAACTATAAATTGGTAAACAGTTTTTAATTACTTTTAACTAAGCCCCAGACATTCTTTTTGTACTTTATGTTGCTATAAACCACCAACGATGATTCATTTTTTGAAACCCTGGATATACAATAATGTGTTGCTACACTAAAAGAGTCAGCGTACGGGATTCCAGCGTTTACAGTTTCCACGTCAATGCAATAAATTTGCCCTGGTGTACTACATGGTAGCATTATCTGGAAGTACATATTTCAAGGTTGAATAATTTTGTTTAGTAAGTCATTTTTAGTTCAGATGAAAAAAAGTATTTACTTGAGTTTCGGTAACTTGTGAACTCTTGGGACCAACTGATTTATTGAGAAAAACTGTTAAAGAAACTTTTCGTACCTTCTGACCTGTCGTTATGTCTTGTGTCCAGTCTGACTGGACTAAATCTAGAAAAACAAGCACATGACAATGATACAATTTTGCTAATAAATTTCACGTTTGTTTGAAAAGTTTCAATAATAACAACACTTACCAGTTGATTTTCGCGCAGTATGAAAATCTAGGAAGAACTTGGAAGTTGTAAAAAGTAGTGTAAACAATTGATTAACATCAATTGGAAAAGTGGCTTTTATCATCATTCGTCCATCATGTGGAGATGTGCAAATCGCCGATGTACTCGCTGTAAAATGAATAGAAATGACTTGAATATTTATAAATTTTTCATCAAGTAAGTATGCTTGCTTTCGAACTAATAAGAAAAAATATTACCATTTTGACTGTTGGTAGACGATGCCTTGTTGATTTCACTTTCACTTGAATCACTCAAATCAGACAAGTCTTCAGGTAAGAGACCAATAACTGAATGTACCGGGGATGATTTATTTACTACTCACAATTTAATCCTATGAAAACCAAGAAATCTTATGCACGGCGTCAAGTAGCTAAAACTTATCATAATTACTATAAATAATAACAATAGAATATTGTGAAGTTACTAATTAATGTACATGAATCACAACAGCAATCAGCTGTCAAAGCGAGCTGTACATATAGGTAGAGAAAAGAACGAGAAGAGCGAGATGAGAAGCAAAAATGTATATGTCGTCGTCTCGGAAAAGTCAACAGAGATGAGAACCTCTGGAATTTTCCCCCACTCCTCTGACTATTGCTTCTCCAACACTCTATAGATAGGTATGTTAGTGACAGTAACTATCATGTCACTGACAGTAATTTTCACTGCGGGAATCCTCTTCACCCAACGCTGATGTTACATTAAAAAAATAACTACCTACCCTCTAGCGGCCAAAAGTTAAAACTTAAAGGTTATTATAATACTCCATGACATATTAAAAGTTTTAATTAAACATCTGTCAAAATTTGGAATCGATTGGTTCAGTAGTTTCCAAGATTTTTGCGAACATACAAATAAACGCTGTTTCTTTATAAAATAGTAAGATTGGTAAACAAGGTGTTGTTTCTCTTAAAAATCAAGGAAAACTTTTTTCCTACTTCAGGCATTTTTGAAAAGCTAGTGTGCCTTGAGTCGAAAATAAAAGGATTCACGACATAGGCTCCATTTTAATCAATATCAAAGAAAGTAAGAGGAAAAGCATCTTCTACGGACTTAAAAACTTTCAATAGTGTCATGTATGGTACTTTTCAAGAAACTACGAAGAAATTACTAGTTAAACTCAACTCTTAAATTAAAATTATTTTTAAAGATGCTTGTCACATTGCCATGCATGTTGCCATTTACCGTCCGTCTCATTTTTTCATAGCTTGTAATTTAATAAAAAATAAAAAAAATTCAGTAAGATAAGCAGGACTATTTATTATAACAAAAATTACGCCCGTCTGATATCTCAGCAATTTAGTACTGCCATAGGATCATCATCAGGAACTTCTTAAAAGAATAATGTAAACGATCGAGTTCTAACATTTCATATACACACTCTGTGGCCCAACAATAAATCCACAATCTTAATCAAGTCGCGTGGGAGTGCGATGAGGTTAGTTTAGGAAAGTAGACGAAGCCTCGGCGATCATCCTACTATTTACTTCAGATTTATATTCAGGTAAACTCAAATTTTCTAACATTGAAAATCGAGTATTTTTTCTCGTATGCCTAAAATATTTTTGTTTAATTTAGTCTCTTTACTCTTACTTAACACTTTCAGCGAAAATTGTAGGTCAGGAGGTTGTTGTAACAACGAAAACGAGGCATGTGTATCTCAAAATGCTTAAATTAAGATTAAGATTTGTTAAGTTTCAGTTTCATCCTAAAAGTATTCTTACCTTGAAGTTGGCTGCAAGCCGAATTTACCCTGGGTATACTTCAGATAAGCGAGTTCAAAAAATAAAACATAGCTACTAACAGTATGATATTGGCTACAGGTATTTCCTAATTTTACAGGAGATAACACGCAGCATTGGGACTTCTCAGTGGCTAAAATGGTAGAGCGCTTACTTTCCACCTGAAGACCTCGGGTTTTAGACTCCGCTTCATTACTTCCTTTTGGGTAATTCTGAGGTATTTCTATATTACATAATTACCAGGATATCATATAAGATGGCCACTGGTACAATGACTTTGACCGTGGCAAGCAGATTGGCAGATAATAGTAAAAAACAACGATGCCTCAGAAAAAAAGGGCGATGGATAACTCTCTAATGAAACAATTGTTCTTATAAATGATCAATACTAACAATGAAGTGCAAGATAAAATTTAATGTTGCAAATCAAAGCCGTACAAATAAATATCCACAGCCATTTAAACAAAGACAAACAAGGTGTGACATTACTATTGTAGGATACTTACTCGGTGACAAATTTAAAATAGGCCTACAAATTTAAACATTCTTAATATATATTAATATCCTATTATTTAAACCTTGTATTTCATGTGCTTTAAACATAACCACCCTTATTTTAGTATCTGATTTAAGATTTCTCATATGTAAAATAATAAACAGCGGTAAATTGTATTATTTGTTTTAGTAACAGTGGTAAATTAATTTTCGTGCTGTTTTACGGTGTATGTGGATGAATTAACTGTAGAGAGTGTCTGATTTTTACTATAAATATAAATTATAGGTAATAAATGATGAATAACCAAAAGAAAATAACAAAAACCAGTGGACAGTGGGTACTTGGGTACCCAAGTAAAAAGTTATACTTCTATAAAATTGTATGGCAAAAAACATCATTATAAATATAAGTATACTTTCAATGAAACGATATTATGTACAAAGGTGGTGCAATTTTCATTGGAATGAGTATACCTAGAAAAGTTGGGTGTGGTTTCAATAAATAATTTATTATCTAATAACATAACAATTATGAACAATGTTTAATGGCACAATATTATATAAACAATACGTCAGCTGGCCAGTACAAGACAGTTATCTTTCATCGAATCTTCTGATGGTTTCAAAAAAACTTCCCAAAAAAATAAAAAATACCCTTATAAAATAGCAGATGGTACAACTGTATCCTTTTTTACATTTTCAATTAAGAGAATTCTTGATGTAACATGTAACCTTATGGAAAAATCACTATGAATTAGATTCATCAGATCTATACAAAGCTCTCATTTTTTGTTTGTATAAAAGATTACTATTAAATAAACCTGTTTCATTTCTAAATAGATCTATAATTTATTTTTTATTTTCATTAACATAAAAAAGAGGGGCTAAGTATGTGAAAAGCGTGTATGTAAGTTCATCCTTATGAGAAAAATAATTTTCAGCGTTGCAGCATATAATTGCGCTCCTCCCACCTATCGGGATTTTGTTCTTAGTTACAAAGGAAAAATTGTGAAAGGAGAAAAATCAATAAACATCAATTATTGTACTTATACAGGACGGAAACGTTTTTTTCCATTATTAAAGGTCTGAAATAATTGTATAAACAATAATTTATGTATGTAGAAAGTAACAAATTAATGATAACTAAATGAATGTTCCAAGTTCACCGTGATATCTAGCAAAGAAAACAGAAAAAATGCTTTTGGTATGTCTTCAAACGAGTCACTTTAATATAATTACGACCAAGCATCACTTATTTTCGAATTCTNCCGTAGGGCAGAACGCACCTATAGAAGTATAACTTCAAAAATTTTTTACTGTAATGATCCTTTTGAGTATCAAGTCAATTAACTCAATTCATGAAAAAAAAAAAATCAATATTTTATTTGAAAAAAAAGTATTGCTTACTCAACTTTACCGTTTCTTACAATTAATTAAGACCAAATTTGACTCCATAAGTTAGAGCTCTGAAAGAAAAATAAAAGGAGAGACGACTAAAACATCACTATGGCCTCTTTTCACTTGCTCCTTTGTCCTCAAATAATAGTACGACTGTAACTTGGTAATATGGAGGATCATTATTTATTAATAATTCATTAACATTAATCAATATTTCGCTGTCTTGCTGACAGCCTCTTCAAAATCGAAAATTATATGGTAATAGGTGCTAAAATAACACGCATCATGAATACCTATGGCTTTTATTATTTCGTCACCATATTGCTAAATCCTACTTAGTTCCAATACAGGTCATGTTCTTAAAAATTAAAATTATGTCATAAACATAAAAAATTTGTTTTTTCTAAAAAGTCATACTAAGATGGTGCTGACACATAAAAAGTAAAACCCAGATGTCGAGTGTCATACTAAGTAAATGTTGTGCCAAAAAAATAATTGGTCGTTTTTATACTTTGATTTTAGAACTTCTGAAGGCTACAGACTTATTAGGAAGAATACTATTTATTGTTAGTGTGTAAAGGCTTTAAAAATTCCTCATAATGTGTTAACCTAAGATGTCAAACTTAACTTACCTTTTTGTTCTGTAAAAAGGGAGTTTTACAGGGTACCATATTGATAATAATCTTTTTGGCATACATTATGAAATTGTTTTCTTTATGAAAAAATTAATCAAACCAGTTAAAATTATGAAAAGGATAAAATTTATTTCTTAATCGTAGTAATAAAATGCGAATCATATCGAACATAAAGGCCAGATGTTATTTTTATAATAGTAAAAAATCCTGCTCAACTAACTTATTTTGTTTTTCTTAAACATTGTGTTTAATTATGTTCTACACTGTCATACTTACAATTATTTTGAAAATAATTTCCACTTTTAAAGTAGTACTTGACAGTGTTTTAGTTACAAATTCTTCTTTCATACATATAAACATGTCTTAAATTGAAATGCCGCTTCGTAATCGGTGGAGGATCAACCTCGCAGCACGCCGAAAGTGGCTGTACACTGAGTTTATGGAAAATCCTTTACACATTCACATACGCAACCACCGGTCAATTTCTTTTTCACCTTCATCCCTGCTTTTCTTTTGTTTCAATCATTACATTCAATCGCTCTCTCACTAACCCTTATTGTGTCTCTCTTCCTCTCTATTCTCTCATTAGCTTGACATTTCTCTCCTTCTCTATCATGCAACTATACTCCATCTCTTTTGCTCTCATTAAGTGTCCTCAGGTCATAGGTCTCTCCCCTTTCTTAATTTCTTACATCTTTCTCTCTCGCTCTTTCATGGCTTTTCGCGTCAGGAGTAAGGGATTAAGGGATCCTGACGACTGCAGCGGGTGGAAGAATTATAAAGAAAGGGGGGTTTTGCTTCTTCTTTGGGTTGGCGCGCTGGATCAGTTCCGAACTATTGGTCTATACAGAGTGTTCTACAGTTGTCAACTGCGATCTTGAATATTTGGCAAAGTTGGGTATTATATTCGTTCTATAGGCTTCTTCGTTTTGTCTCATCACCATCACGCACACAGGCAGGTGTCATCATTTTGGGGTTAACTTCTCTCACGCTTTCATTTACTTAATTATCATCGTCATCTGCATTATTTTCGAGGAGCTTGGCATGCTGCGAGTATAGCACGGCGAAAATCCGCTTCACAGGCCGTGTGACGCTTGTCAACTCGTGAGTTTTTCGAGACACGTGCGGACACGCACATTTTCTACACACATACTCACGAACACACTCTTCAATTCTATTTGATCTCAAATTATTGTTCAACCTCACTCATTTGTATCTTTCGTGATTTTTTCTTCTCTTGGGTTTTTATCTTCGGAATGTTTTTCTTGAGCCACGAAATATACCTTCATTTGTGGCTCATAATAAGTGCATTTTTTTTTATTTTACCTTTTTTATTCCCATCTTCTGTTCAGATAAATTTATTAAAGTTATTTTTCTTGTGTCAGTTTTGATTTATTATGTGTCAATTTAGTAGTTTTTTGTGCCACGATCCATTGTAAATTTATAGGTGAAAAATTAGTTGACTTCATCAAATAGACGCAGCCAACAGGGCAGCAACACTCTTGCTACATTTCAAAGTGAATAAAAATTTTTTTTAATTTATTTTATTTACCTCGAATATTTTTGAGGGTAGGATTTGTCCTCAGTAAAAAAAAACAATGTTCAGCACAAATATGCCATCCATATACGGATACCTCACAATTTCTTAGGTCTGATTTACAGAGCCTTCGAGTCACAATATAGCCCCACAGTTGATAGTACTTTTATAAAAACACTACTATACTTCTAAAATTAAACAATAGTGATATTTTTAACAAAAGAAGAGATTTGTTTTTGTTAAATAATTGTTTCAAACGTTTGTTTTTAAACGAATAGACAACTTATGAAACAGCCGTCTCAATACCTAATGCGAATTTTTTGCATTTAAAGTACCAAATAAATCAATAAAGATTAATATAAATAAAAGGATACGAAGTTACTTATTACTTTTGTTATTTCAAAACTTTCTTATAATCTATATTTTACTTTGAAGTTGTACAGTCAGTACCTAATTACAATTCAAGTATTGATGAATCTGTACGAACTACTTAAAATTGACATAAAAATTATTGGGTTATATTATTATGAAACTAGTGTACCTAAAAAAAAAAATATGCATCTTAATTATTTTATGTTTAACACAATTGTAATAAGAAGTCACATATTTTTCCAAAAATAATGTGGATTCTACTAAAATTATTGTTAAAATCTGAAAGAAATGAACCAAAAGTAATAAAAAACTGTTAAAAGTAGTTGATGCCCGTGAATATAATGCCATGGAGTTCGCCGCCAAAGCTGTTGAAATCTAAAACAAATTTGATGTATCGATTGTGCATAGAAAATGCTGCAAAAAGTTACGTTACAACTTTTTTGCGCGTGCAATTGTTTAAGAGTTATAAGAGAAAAACACTTGGGGGCTGCCCCCAAAACTCAGTGGCTAATTTCTATTGATTAATTATGACAACGAATTATGTATTATTGATGAAAGGATTGCGCGTAAGCTGTGCGTGCCGCCCCCAAACAAAATAATAGCTTAAAAACCTTGCTCTGAGCAAGAGGATGTGCGCATGCGCGTTGGCTGCAGATTAACTGAAATTATTGCGTAAAGCAGATTTGCATTAATAATTACCATCCAAGGTTTTTAAGCTATTATTTTGTTTGGGGGCGGCACGCACAGCTTACGCGCAATCCTTTTATCAATAATACATAATTCGTTGTCATAATTAATCAATAGAAATTAGCCACTGAGTTTTGCGGGCAGCCCCCAAGTATTTTTCCCTTATAACTCTTAAACAATTGCACGCGCAAAAAAGTTGTAATGTAACTTTTTGCAGCATTTTCTATGCGCAATCGATACTTCAAATTTGTTTTAGATTTTAACAGCTCTGGCGGCGAACTCCATGGTGCTCGTGAATGTAGTGACGAAGTATTTATGAAAAAGGTTAAGCGATTAAAAGAGACTGAAATATGTGATGCAGATTAAAGTCTTTTTACTTAATTTTTTGAATAATTTTTACTGAACGTTATGCTTAGATAAGTTGTGTTAGAAATAGTATTACAACTGCAATCAAAACTATTATATTTTTTTAGGAAAGCTGAGACATACTTACCTATTAACCCAAATAACTACGTTTGTACTTATTTTTATTATATTTAAAACAGTTATTTCTATATAACAGCCCTAAAAAAATTACTATACAGCATGAAAAAAATTGCTATGTCTAACGTATACTCAAAATTTTGATGTTATAACTTTCACTATACAACATAGTAAGCTTCGTTGTAATTATTTTTCAATATCCCAGATTCTTAAGTATAATTTATAGTGCATCGCTATTCAATGTAGTAAGAGTAACTATATTAAAAAATAATTTTTCACGGTGATTTTTTTGATTAGGTGAGATGGTAGATAACCTCCACGCTTAATGAGTTTTAAATTTGAAATTATACTCATGTAAACATTACGACAAACATTGAAATTGATATGTATGGACAAATGATTTTGTATTAACTAATCGGCCGTGGTAAACATTATGATCTACTGGAAATCCTCTGATTTTTAATTTGACTGTTTGTAATATAAGTAGCACACGTTTCCAGATGTACTCTATCCATGCTTACGCAAATACAGCGTGTCACGGTCTAGTGGTTACGAAAAATGATTTAGAAGCCGAAGAACGGAGGCTCTATTCCTGAGCAGAGCAAATCCATAAGGATTAAAAAGTTCTTTAAACACACCTTCAAGACAAAAAATGTGTGTACACCTATAATTATGTTATAACTTAGTGTGAGTATACATAATTCTTAAGCGCATATAATATATAAAGCTCTTTTTTCTCTCCTCAATGTAAAAACTTTTTCTGAACGTAGTAAAAATTACGATGTTGAATAGCAAACTTTAATTTAATTAACTCTCACTTTGTAGAATAGTGATTATATTATAATATAGCAAGTATGTTTACATACATGTGTTATTGAGATATAAATAAAAATAAGAAAGTGTACAGTCATTTCTAATTTTTAAAACTTAGTCACGTACTTTCTAAAATTGACTAAAACTAAAACTAAGACTACTATTTTTTTTACGTGTTAAAACTTCTCCTAGAAAAACAAAATAACTCCACAAACTATCGTATATACTGTAATCAACTGAACATCAGAAGGGTTTGCCCTAAACTGTTATATTATTTTCCAGGAAAAGTTATTTAGGCAGTTTTGGTGTCACTTAACACTTATTGTTTGAGAATGTTAAACATTTGACTAGGAATTAAGCATCGATACTATCTTAACTTAAGAAAACCATCATTGACATTCGTATGCACGTATGCACTTATATGGCCATACACATCCGCATGAGCATTTGCTAATTCGAATTTTATTAAGATTTTTTGTATCTGTAAATAGCAAAAAAAGCCAAAAGCTACGATGACTAATCAAGGAAGCCTTGCAATGTGACTGATAACTCGCATATACTCATATTTGAGGCGTATACGAAAAAAAGGTACTTTTTAAATTCCGTGGGCTAGGTATGTTTAATTCTCTATTTTTGTTATTGTGTTCATAGATTTGTCATTATCATATGACACCATCCCTACCAACTCTATCACTCACGAACACATGTGCACACACACGCACGTGCTTGCACGCACATAGGCAGACACATTTGCCAGATAACTCTATTTGTGTATGATCGTCTTTGTCTAAAGCATGAGGTAATCAGACATCCATCAGTTATTATGGC